TATATGTATACAAATCCTTTCTTTAGGTATGTTTTCTTTTATCATTCTCACATGCGCGTTTATTCGTCGATCGGTAGGTGGAAGCAGCGCCGGTAGTGAACGCATTTGCAAGGAACCCATTCACGACTTGAAATCGTGCTCTTCGGCATCAGAATCAGAGTTGCATAATCCATCGGTGCCATCGATGCCCAGCAAAAATTCCGGCAACGGTAACGGATCGAACGGAAAAAGATCCAACGGTAGCCGCAGTCGTTCCAGTGGTTCCGAACAATCTGTTCAAACAGGAACAGGCTCGGGAAATCAGCAGAATCAGCAAGACTTATCTGGTAGTAGACAGTCATTTCGCATTGCGATGGGAAATCCTTGTGAATTCTTTGTCGATGTTATGTAGATTTCGTTGTTGTAAATAGAAGAGCAGATACATTGCGCGCGGTACAGAATAACAGTGCAGGATCGATTAAATTATGGATGAATACTTTGCGAACGCGACAAATTAATTCTTTTTATAATTGTGCACAATTGGAATTTACTGAGGCTTTTCTTTCTGTCCAATATGTCGCTTTTATTCTCCCAAGTATCGTCCCGGTAAATTTGACGGTTACTAGAGAATCTCGATCGCTCGATAGAGCCTCTTTATTTTTCCTTCTTGCATTTTTCTTACACTCGAAGTATTTATTCGCCATTTGATCTAGCAGATTCGAATAAGCTCGCGACTTTTCTGTTCAACCGTTGCAACGGGTCAATGACACGTTATACATGTTGCTTTATACATAATTCCGACTGCATCCCGCATAATTTTTACGAGTTGCATTTGTCAAGGTTATTTTGGTTATTTCAAAGTATTTTGCATGTAATGAATCAATGTATATGACTCGGAAATATTGTATCGCAAGGAGGGCAAACAACAAAGCCCAAGTAAACTGAAGTAAAAAGTATACTTTTGTTTTCAACAGCTAAATTGATACAAAAAAGCGGTGTCGTTATATGTCTTGTGTGTATCATCGTATCGTTGGGAAACATACTTTTGATATAGTATCTTAATCTCTGCCGCGATTTTGTGTGTGTGTATATGTGTGTATGTATATATATATATATATATATATATATATATATATATATATATATATATATATATATAAAATTATATTTACGAGAATGAGAGAGCTTTTTCACATCAACAAAAGGATACAGCAGAATAAATGCATCACAGAATAACGTTTTAGTAAATCGTTCCATACGCATATCATTGCGTACCGTTGTCTCTTCCTACATGATATGTTAATATCTGCTATTTCAAGAATTCGGTTAACAAATCATTCGTTGTACTCCACAGTACTGGAGAGTCATTATTACGAGTTTATTTTTTTGCGATGAGTCTATATATTACACACACACACACACACACACACACATATATATATATATACACACATACATACAGCAGAGCACACACACAATTATGTGCACGCTTCATTGCAACCATATATAATCACATACATAAAGTCATTTTCATTTAATATTACTTTAAAACAGCACGGTCGCACAATATTGTAGAGCACACGAATGAACATGTAAATAACACGTTTCATCTCGATGAATGATTGAAAATCAAGACTTGCAACAATCTTTCTACAGAATGCATGTAGTTTATATTTGTATGGGAAATAGTTTGTATATTTATTAATATTTTTTTAATTGGTTGCGTTTTAGGATTATCTACGACAATGGGGCAGCTATTTCTTTAAAATCGAGAGGATATTATTTCTAGATATCCAACAATTCGTTTATTTTTATTATTTTAGAAGTGTGATCGCGATATTTTGAGAAATATTTAACCGAGAAAAATATTCGTATATACAAAAATTGTTCAGTTGTTAATTCGTTGGAGATTTTCATCTATCTACACGTGACGCTCTTTTGTACTCTCTACTGCTTACTCAGTTTGAAGTTATTCTTGAGATCAAAGAGATGTCTCGATAATCACGTTATGCGACTTTTTGTATTTGAATTCATTGAAATGTACATATATGCAAATTACGCTCATATTACATGTGCCATTTTATCAGTGTTAGAAGTATAAAGATGTAAGAGATTTAATTTATATAGATGTGCTTGCAGGTGTACGCATCTCCTACAGATTATGTTCATTGTCATATTTTATAACTAGTGACACGATTATCGTGTGTTTCATTTAACATTTTAACGTTACGTTACACTCCAACATCGTCGAAATGCGTTCCTTTTACTTGTGTCTTGCCATTGCGTTGTATCGATTTTATTCACTGCATTTTGCTACGAAATATTTTTTTATTCTCTTTTTTTCCGTTCTCTATTCACGCGATGGTGTGACTGAGAAAAGTTACTCTTAGTTTTATATTATTACCATCTGGCAGGGGAACTTTGAACATGTTAAAAATTTTTTTCTTTTCTCTAATTTATTAAAAAAAAAAAAAAAAAAAAAAAAGAAAGTGACGAAAGGTAATTTTTCCTTTCTCTCGTTATATATATATATATATATATATATATATGTATATATATATACATATACAGGGTGTCTTACAACCACCGTAAGATATTTTGATAGCGTATTTTGAAGATAGAGTAAAAAATCTTAATACGAAAGTGTTGAAGCTACAATAGTTTTTTAATTATAACCGATCAAAGATTACCAATAATATCGTGTAGAATTCGCGCGCTCAGACCTGTAATTTTACAGCGCGCACAACGTTTTATTATTTGTTATTGACTTCACGGTTAATATTGATTTTTACCATACAACTGATTCCTAAAAGCATTAATAATTATTATTGTTAAAATTATTAAATTTAATAGTTTCTACACTTGAGTAACAAGGATTTTTGCGTTTTTAACATGAAAAGTAATCATGGAAAATAATTTATTATTTTCGTTTTTTTCACGTTTTATGAAGAGTGAAATCGTATAAATCAAGAAAATAAAGTAAATGTGTGCACATTTCTTAAACAATTAAAATTTTTATTAAAATCTTGATATACTGAAATTATTGTAATATTTGAACTAAGATCCGCTTTGACCGAATACGCTTTCTCCACTTATCAATCTTGATCAATCTTGATAATTTTTTTTAGAAATAAATTTTTTTGAAATAAACTTTAGACTTAATATAAAATATTTGATTATATCAACATAAAAAATATGCGACTTGAAACCTGTAATATTTTTATTTTCTATTTTAGACTTAGCTATGATCACGTATTCAGATAATAATATTAAGAAGTTATTATTATTGTGCATTGAAAAAAGATTATTATTAACAAATTGTATATTATAAGCAAATTATTTTATCCTTTATTTTAATGAAAATTTAAATATTTTACCAATTACTCCAATTATTCCATCTACAAAAAATTATTAAGTCTAAAGTTTCTTTCAAAAAAATTTGTTTCTAAAAAAATTATGAATATTGACTAAATATTATGAATATTGTATAAACATTGATAAATGGAGAAAGCGCATTCTGTCAAAGCGGATTCAGATCTTACAATAATTTCAGTATATTAAGATTTTAATAAAAATTTTAATTGTTTAAGAAATGTGCACACATTAACTTTATTTTCTTGATTTATACGATTTCACTCTTCATAAAACGTGAAAAAAACGAAAATAATAAATTATTTTCCATGATAACTTTTCATGTTAAAAACGCAAAAATCCTTGTTACTCAAATGTAGAAACTATTAAATTTAATAATTTTAACAATAATAATTATTAATATTTTTAGGAATCAGCTGTGTAGTAAAAATCAATATTAACCGTGAAGTCGATAACAAATGATAAAACGTTGTGCGTGCTGTATAATTACAGGCCTGAGCGCGCGAATTCTACGCGATATTACTGGTAATCTTTGATCAGTTATAATTTAAAAACTATTGTAGCCTCGACATTTTTATATTAGAATTTTTTACTCTACTTTATTTTCAAAATACGCTATTAAAATATCTTACAGTGGTTGCAAGACGCCATGTCTATATGTGTATGTATGTATATATGACGAAGATACAAATGATGCATATATCTGCGGTTATTTGTATAAAGTAGAAAAGTAAACAATCTGCAATGTGTTCAATGTTCCACTGCATATACCAATGTTCCAATGTACACTTGTCGCGCTACTTGAAGACGTCAACTGCCAAATATAACTGCGCGAATATATAAATGATGTAAATGGTGTATGAAATTCGGATCGATTTCGGAAATGCAATAAAAAAAGAGAAGAGTACCAATTACAGTATACTCGCAAACATTTTGGCAGTAACGTTTCTCTCGTCGAGTTGTACTGCATTTCATTTTGTATTGCGTTACTTGTTACGAAACTATATTTGCAAAATGAAGATTGTGCAATTTTCCTAATTGATACAAAGTGTTTGTTGCGTTTCAGTTTAAAAAAAAAATTGTATAATTTTTCATATGCTTGCAATTTTTTTTAAGTATAGTACAATTTGATATAATTAATTTGTAACAATATTTTCTCTTCGTGTAGAAGATTATATAAAGAACATTCAACTTTGAATTGCACATTCAATTATATACTGGAATATTTACATAAGCGAATATACACAAGTAACTTATACGATGGCACCGACAATTATACTTTATAATGTGAAAGTTATGCATACTTTACACCACAAGCAGGTCGTGCAATATATCTGAAAAATTTGAAATTTTCTCTGCTTATATCTGTTTATATCAATTTCACACTTTTGCACATTTTGCAAATGGACAAAAGAGAAATTAGAAATTTTCATATATATATATATATATATATTGTTATAGATTATACAAGTTCCTCAAATTTTTTCCAAGCCGCGCTTTTACCGCCTTTCTGTTCTGTAATTAAGGAGAAGACTTATTTTCATGTCTTGCGTGAAAAGTTTATCGCTCGTATGTACATTGCACCACCTTAGATACGTAACCGAGTGATTTTTGTGCCTTGTGCTGCGCTGATGGTTGATGCAGGGCGGCATATGCACGAAGAGAGTCACACGCAAACTAGCGATTTGGACAACAATAGCAGAGACGAAATCTGTGAGTGTACATTTATTATGATACTGTTATATTCTATTATTCATATACACTTTTTTTGCTTTCTTCTTTTGCGCTTTTGATTTATGTCAGTGAGATCGACATCATTGTATATATCGAACTAAAGATAATTCCACAATGACATGTTTATGCGTATTCAATTAGATATACTTGTTTATTTGATTAATTAATTAACAATAATCAGACAAGTTCTCTCATGTGTACGACATGGTTCCAATTTGGATGATCTTTGCACACCATTTGTATATAAATCAAATTTACAGCTATGTATCAAACACACACAATGTGTATGTGTATGTATGTATGTGTACGCGCACGCGCACGTATGTTGTGTATGTATACGTGTGTATGTATTTTAGTTGGCTAACTTGTATGTAACGTATAATGTGTTTGCGTGATTTTTGAGCGATATTTTACACTTTGTTTATCTTACGTTGAAATATGAAATGTTTTTTTCTTCTTTACAGACGAAGAAGACATTTTGGAATACCAGTTTCTACATAAGTGAGGATCTTTGTTAACGTATACGTAACATAACGATGATAACGCGATTCGAACGAATTGTCAAGGTACATTGACTTTATTAGTTGGATGGGTGGAAGTAGCACACGCGAAACATATATTTATATATTTAATAGGCCAATTTTGATAAAATATCATAGAAAGTAAAAAATTAAGATTCTCGTAATTATGATTTATAACGGCTATACACACATAATAAAATTAAGACCGTAGAGGTCGTCGTGGCAATTAGAATTTGTTTAAGAATGTTGACATAACCCGCATTATATTTTCCGACTGTTGAGATGATATTGATAATTTTCTAAAAAAAGAAAGGAAAAAAAATATTGACTAAGGGAGAAAGTAAAAAAGGAGTATAACAATTCGACATCAGAAGGCAAACTAATACGGTTTACGTACAATTAGAAATTTAAATTTTACATATGATGTGAAGAACAAGTGGAAACGAGATGACAAAATGAAAATTATATTTAATAAGAAGAAAGGAGAAGAGATTATAGTCGCCCGTCGATTTGTTTTCGGATGTTACGATGTAGCTTTTGTTTTTTTTTTCAAAGTTTGATTCCAACAGATCATTATATTATCAATGGTATGATACGTAAATAAATTGTAAAAATATAATTGTGTGATTGATAAAAGCGTGTCATGTTTATGTAAATTATCACACGACGAACAACTTAAGAAACAAGAAAGAATTAGGTTTTGAAATGTCTTTGCAGACCTAAGGAATGAAGGTGTCTGTTCTTTGGAAAAAGAGAGACTCGAGAGAGTGTCCAAAAACTATGTATATCACAGACTGAATACAATGTGTGTTATAAGGTGTGGTTGGATAGCATTATCGATTATTACACACACACATATATATTTATAAATTTTGTGTGTGTGCGCGCGTGCCTGCGTGCGTGTGTATATATATTTATATATATATACATTGACATAACTACCACACCGAGCATTTCCTCACAGGATTCATAGGAGAACCAGGAGGACACTTAAACACTTCAGCAAAGTCCCTTGAATTGGAGAGCGTACCGATCACGCGGAACTTACCGGGTGAGTGCACGGCTGTTTTTAATTTATTTTTAGTTGCTTCGGGTCGCATCAAGCCGCACCAAACTTGAGCAAAATTCAAGAAGAACAACTGTTTGCCCGTCGCGCTTATTCCAGGTAACGTCTCGTCTTCATTTTGATTCACGCGTAACCACCTCTCGTACGCCTACGAGTCAAGTGCAAAACATTTGTTTCTTTTTGTTCGACATTATTGACAGTATCTTTTCTTCGAGTTAAGAAAGGGAGAAGAGCTGTGAAATTACCCTAAACGCCTGCTTAATACCTCCGTTGTCGGCAATGTTTTCGCCTTGCGTATTGACGCCGTCTATTTGCATTCCAACTTCTGCCACGGTATAGTGAGCGTACTGATCTGAAGGAATCAAAGAGATGGAATATACAGAACAAGAAATCATATGATTAATCATGCGATCGACACTTTCACGCACCGATGAGGCATTGCGCCCGGCGATGAAAGCCATTTATAGCTTCGTCTTTCCACCATCTATGGAGATTGCCATCTTTATCGAACAGTCTACCTTTATCGTCAAATCCATGAGTAATCTCGTGTCCGATTACGACACCAATTCCACCGTAATTTAGACTTCGTGGAAAGAATCGATGATAAAAGGGGGGTTGTAGTATACCAGCTGGAAACACTGAAGCAGGCGGAAACAATGTTTAAATGCGATAGAGGAAAGTGGCAAAAGTAGACGATCATCTCTGTGAGTGTGTAGTTAAACTGACTTATCTGATTTTTGTTGCGACTGTAGTAAGCATTTACGATTGCTGGAGCAGTGTTCCATAAAGTTTTGTTGACGATATTGCCGAGACGATCTTGTTCGAGTCTGGTCAAGTGTTTCAAGATGTTTAAAGTATTTTCGAAATATTTGTCTGGTCGTATGATAACCTGTGCGCGTTATGTTATCATTTGTTTAATATTAATGATATTACGCGTGACAATTACAACGTAGTAACTTTACGCTGCTTCACGACAATGTGACTATATACGATGTCGCTTACATGTATGATGTATCTTACATCTTTGTAACGTTCGTTTAGTAGATGCGGCTGTAGGATAAAATCTGGATAGCCAATCTTGAGCGACATGGCATTTACTTTTTCAGTCGCCAAGCGCTTTGTCTCGTCGTCGATCCAATTGGTTTTATCGAATAATTCCCTGAACGACCGTTGTATCTCCCGGGTCATTGATAATGTCTGTCGATGAACAAGGCTGACTTGAATATATTTCATTTAAAATTTTGTAGAAAAATACATCACATTTCTCAAATTTTATCAACTGATCCGTGTTAATGTTATCTGGGAGAAACACTCACGTCGTTTTTACTGTTCTCGTCGAAATACTTGTTCACAAACATCGAACCCACTGCCATACCCATGTTGGAATTTACTTGGGTAACACAATTCTTCCATCTTGACGGCGCTTGCTCTCTGCCGAACAGGATGTAGTAAAAGTTTTGTTTCACCTCCTGGAAACGATCGTCGAGATTGTTCACTCTGTGCCGCACAAATCTCCACAGTAGGTAATTCGCTACTGTTCTGCAAAAATTGAATGAAGCGGGAATTGTAATGCCTTACAAGACGAGACAAGTCGCAAAAAGAAAAAAAATAAAGTACATTGTGTACCTAGGCTGCGTTTTTGAAAGTAAGACAACTAAATCCTGAATGTACTGCAGCGCAAAGATGACAACTGGTTCGGAAAAGTTAACCGGACGGGCCAAAACGATTGACAAATAACGACGCCAGTCAATTTGCGGCACGAGCGTTCTCAATTCGCCGATGCTCATTCGTTGATAAAGCTCAGAAAAATTTCGTCTTTCGTCGGGTGACGACGTAATCTACGGCAAAATACAAAATCAACGATCGAAAGTCCAAGAGAAAAAGAAGTAGAAGGACGCACACATACACGCACGCACGCACGCGCACATACACATACACACACACGTACCTTCGCGAGCTGCGTCTCGAATTTGATGAGTTCTTCGGCTTGTACGGTTGCGTTATGGAGGGATGCGCCGAGTAAAGTCGCAACTTTAATGAAATAATCCTTGTAGGCCTCTAGATACACCATGTTGGATCGTTGAAGGAAATAATCCCTCGTAGGAAGGCCGAGCGACGTTTGGTCAAACTGTAGTAAATGGATATAACGATGACCGAATTTTTTCGCGGTAAGACAGAGCAACGCTGTCGCTTGAAAAATCGATGGTGCCGAATTACCTGTATCACGTACTTGTCGCTGTTTTTTATGTCTGGACCCACCCATTCTGAGATCAATACGTCGTTATTGTATAGTCGAAGTTGCGCGGTCAAAAGAAGCCAATCAAACTTGTTTGGATTCCAATCTGGTCTCAGTATTGGCCAACCGCCAAGTTGGTCCAAAAGTTGAATAAGCGGTCGTTCCATACGCTGTTCCAAGATCTCTAGTCACATTCATCGCGTTGAGAGAGAGAGAGAGAGAGAGAGAGAGAGAGAGAGAGAGAGAGAGAGAGAGAGAGAGA